TTTAATTAAGACATTTTAAAAGCATGCTGTGTAATTGGAAATTTGTCTAAAATAAGTATAGTGAAAATATATGAAGAGTTCAGATGCAAAAGCCTCTAAATGCCATTTGAAATTTTCTTCTAAAATGACCATTTTTATCAAGTTTGTATATTTAAGTTCAGTAATTTCACTTAAATGGCAATGAAGAGTACCTATTATGTCATTTAAGTGAAATTACTGAACTTAAATATACAAGCTTGATAAAAATGCTCATTTTAGAAGAAAATTTCAAATGGCATTTAGAGGCTTTTGCATCTGAACTCTTCATATATAAAATTAAGAATTAGAATAAAATATTGAATGGGCCAATAAAGTAAACTGAACTATTGAACATCATCCATCATTCTGGTTGTAAATGACATTAGAAATTGTAAGAATTCATGAAAGAATTTTAAAAGAGGATGCTAATATAATTTATTGGCTGACCATGTATAAGATTAAAAAGGAGAGCAATAACCAGAATTTACGCTACCGCATTAACCTAGCTGATTTTGCACAAGCAGTTTACGGGAAATAAAGCCAAGGTCCACTTCTGCTAATTTCAGTACTCTTTGTCTTCGCTTTCTTCTTAGTCATGCGTCTCAACTGTGACATCAGTTTTTGGGAAGGCATCATCACACCACTATGATATCGAACACTGACCTCAGATAACCTTGTCCTATAAGGAGAACACACACATTGAGCGTTTTAGAATGGTAACTATTAAAATACAGTGCAGGTGAAAAGCAGTGGGTGCTGTAAAGGTCTGAGTCTCTGTGAGCAAGGGGGAGAGGAAATGGGCTCAGTGACCTTTGCAGCCAATTTCCCCTGTGTTCAAACAGCAGCATGAAAGCCAGGTCTGTTTCTGAAGTCGGTGCAAAATGTCAATTGCAACTTATCCCACCAGCAGAAAGAATTTGCTCTGAAAGTAGATTCCCTTATTCGTCAGCTTTCAAGTCATTGCACATGGATGGTTTGACCCTATCCTCACTCCTTATAGAAAGGACATACAAACGATTTACAGGTTTTTAAAATGATTTAAAAATAAACATAAAAAACACTTTGCAACATCCCCCATCCTAACTTTATCTGTTGGTCGATATATCCTTCATAATGAGCCGTAACTGATTTCATCCATAGCATACATCAGAGTCTTCAATTATTAGGCCAGCCATAAAAATCATTAAAGGGTTAGATCACCCAAAAATACTACTACTACTACTACACTATACTGCCCCCTCAAGCCATCCTATGTGGCTTCCTTCTTTCTGCCAAACACAATCGGAGTGATATTAAAAATAATCCTGGCTCTTCTAATCTTTATAATAATAATATATAGAGAGTCACCTGAGATTTCGAAGCCCAAAAAAGCGCATCCATCCATAATAAAAGTAGCCTAATCCATATGTGGCTCCAAGGGGTTAATAAAGGGCATATACCAATATCCATATTTATAATTTTATCAATCGTTGACTTTCGGTATAGCGCCCGTACACAAGTCGAGGTCCAGCTGAAGAGTACACTCTAAAAAATGCTGGGTTGTTTTAACCCAACTTTGGGTCAAATATGGACTAACCCAGCCGTTGGGTTAAATTTTTACATTACATTTTTAACCCAACATTTCGGGTTTGTCCATATTTGACCCAAAATTGGGTTAAAACAACCCAGCATTTTTTAGAGTGTAACCTCTGACCCGACGTATCGCATTTTTATACATTTTATTTTTATTTTATTTTTTTAAAAATAGGCTTACTGAATAATTTCATTATTCATCATTTGAGGTGATGAAACACTGTTTTTTCCTCTGCGGAACGCAAAAGAAGAATGTCCAAAACAACATATATGAAGCAGAAAAAAATATATATCTTCTTTAATGTTCCACAGAAAAAAAGAAAGTCAGCGTTGGAAGAACATGAGGGTGAGCAAATGACAAATTAAACTAACCATTTAAGGTAACAATTGCAGGTTACCGCTGTGTGCCAATTGTTCTCATTCCATCACAAATAAACTATTTCCATCATAATATTAGTAACTGAGCTGATGTTTCCTTCAGATACAAAATGAGGGCTAATGAAAAACAACCATCATATCCGCACAAGCAGGTAGTTTAAATAGCGAGCCATCAATGAAACTATCTGTTTCAGGAAGGAGGGTGTGAAATGCTCAATGACTTCATTTTACAGTAAGCGATAGATGGAAGTAGTGTGGGGAGTGGAACAACTGTATTCATGGTTTTGACACCACACCTCATTATGATGCAATATACATGTATCAATCAGCAGAAAATTCCATTTGACCATTTTTAAACTATTTTTGTCAGAGATTTCAGTATATGTAAACATGACTTTGCAAATAGGTTCAACATGTGCCATTTCCATTTCCTTTATGGAAACACATCGCACTCAGTCTCTGCCAGTCACGGCTCTTGTCATGAAACTGCTCTTTTGCAATAAGGGGAATTCCTAGTTCCTTCGCTGACAAGCCTTTTTTCTCTCTCTCTCTCTCCGTCTCCCCTTTTCCCTTTTTTTGTTTTATGGGAACCGAGGGCTGAACCAGTGAGATGTTTTTCCTCAGAAGCGCTTTGTGTTGATTCATTATGAGGGGGTGGGAGATTCCCTCCCACTGCTTCCTTCTTACTGGGAAGTGATTGCAGGCTTACGGTACTGAAAGAGCATGAGGGAGTGAGTGAGTGAGTGTGAGAGGGAGAGATATTTAAGCTGAGAGAACTCATCAGAAGTCATATATTCAGAAGTCACAAGACCAGCACTCATCTCTGGCTTTACATGTGAGTTACTGGAGACTCCAATGGCAAATAAGGATTGTGGATTTTAAAGCAACAGTTTGATCCATGATAGAACCAGAATGAGAGATAGCTATGATGTTGCTCCTGACAAACTGGGATAAGCGTGTCTTTCTTTATCAGATAAGTATTTGATGTTTAGTTTGACATGTATATGAGAGATGTGTGGTGTGTAGGCTACACTTTTTTTTACTGGCTATATAAAATACAAAAAGATTATTGTGTTATGTGATTTCTAATAATGTTGTCATAATGAGTTGTACACTTACACGCATGTAGGTTTTTTTTTCAACTTTAAATGCATCTTTCATGAGAGAACAGGAAAAAATAATAGATATTTTTGGTTCTTCAGAGGGGGTTTCCAACTGTGCACCCACCAGGGCAGTTCGACTGGTTCAGTGCCGTTTATTGGGAAGAGACAGTTTCCTGAAAGTCCTCAGGTGTGGCAGGTAATCAGTTAAGGACATAAAGTTCAGTGCTTTTTCGCAGCAGTTTAGTAATGATCAAACATTAAACAAATATGTGATGGAGATAACATTGAGACAAAAACCTGAGTTGGATTACATCACTAACCCTAGAGATTGATGAAGCTGCAACAACCCAAAAGTCTTGAGCTCTGAAATGGTCAAAAGATCAGAGCTTCTTGTTTGTGTATTCATATATATATTTTTTTGTATGTGTGTTTTTAAAAAAAAAGTTTTTAGAAGCTTTCGGTTTGGGTTTCTGAGAGGAATTTAACCATTTTAGTACACTTGACGGGCAACAGCATTTATTTATCTTATTTTTTTTTAAAAAAAAGTTTAGTAAATGCTGACAAAGTATGTTTTGAGCACTTAGCCCTGAGAACTGAATTCCATAGATGATGTTCATAAAGAGTTCATCTATGGGCTCAGTTCTTCTGGCATTGTGTTTAATATCTGCAACAACAACAACAAAAGTATTAAAAATACACCAAGAAAACATTAAATACGTAAACTTTAAATTTAAGCTAACACTTTACAATAAGGTTCATTAGTTAACATTAGTAAATGCATTAACTAACATGAACTAACGATGAGCAATGCATTAGTTACAGTGTTTATTAATCTTTGTTAATGTTAGTTAATACAAATACAGCTGTTCATTGTGTGTTCATGTTAGTTCACAGTGCATTTACTAATGTTAACTAATACAACCTTTGATTTTATAACGTATTAGTAAATGTTGGAATTAATATTAACTAAGATTAATAAATGCTGAAGAAGTATTGTTCATTCTTAGTTCATGTTAACTAATGTGGTTACTAATGTTAACTAATGAACCTTATTGTAAAGTGTTACCAAATTTCCATTTCATTCTATTACTGTAAGAAGTAACTTGTGAAAAATTAGTTTAATTCTTTACTTGTTCTTTTCTTTTTTGCGTATATATTTCTTGTGTATAAACAAGAAAAGGTAAATAAAACCTTGTTTGTCACAAGTTACTTCTTACCGTACACTAAGTTACAATGATTTTGATATATTTAGTGAGATAAATTGTTTAGATGTTGTGCTCCAATAAATGTTTACAAATCATTCAAAGCACCTTCCTGTGTTCTTTGCTTTTTATATATTTGTTTATTCATAATTTTTAAGTTTTAGTATATACAGACACTCTGGGTGTGCTTATCAAATGAACAAAGTCTGTCCACTGCTTCCGGGATCCATGGATGTCCTTTTTCAAGTTCTGGTGAACTAGTTAACAATAACATATAGGTCAAATGTTCAGCAGTGCCTTTTAGATGGTTCATTATATGTTTTCATCTTATATCTCTAGGTTTGGTTATACATGGTCAGATTTTTTCAAAAAAAGCCAGTGAGCTGACGTATCATATGCAAACGATGCACTGACTCCCACGCTTTAACCAAAGGCATGCCTTATCTCTTATTCCTAGCAAATGACTCAGGATCAATTCCTTGGAAATCTGGAGTAATGTAGACTTTCCCAAAACAACTAAAACCTGTTCAAATATCAATGACCCAGTCTTGGAGTGGTATTAGTGGCTTCTCCTAGAATCTTTATGATAATAGCTCATTGTCGTTTCAAAATTGTGTTATTGAAGGGTTATTTGCAAATGTATTTATTTAGTTATGTTATGTTTTCCTTGTTAGCAATAACAAACATTGTTATAAAAAGTTTATGTGTAAAAGTGTAAAGAAGTTTGTTTTTTTACATATCGAAAACAAATACATTATATTTGTATCACAAAGTACAGTATCATGGACACTTTGAAGATGGGAATATGATAACAGTATACAGTATGTACGGTATATGTTTCACTGGGATTTTTTTTTTCACTCGGATTGAATTAAATGTGAAATTTTGAAGTACAATAACTAGTATTTTTTTAAGTAAAACTCCAATAATCTTTGAAAAAAACTTCATTTTTTATACAGTGGTGTGTAAATAAGAAAAACTGTAGAGTGTCAAATTAAATTGTGGTTAAATAAAGAATCAGATCCAGAACAGATCCAATACAAATATATATATATATAAATTATATTGATATTGTATAATGACATTTTTGTTATTCTTAGAGTGGATTTTGTACAAGTAATTGCAAATATCACATTCTATACATCTAGTTTCATTTCCCAAACTTTAAGGCCTGGTTTCAGGGCTTAGTTTAACCTGGATTAGGCCTTTGTTCAATTAGGACAAGTAGCTTTTATAAACATGCGGGGGGAAAAACAATAACACGCTTTCAGTTGCTTTCCGTTAAAACAGCTCAAACATGCATTTTAGTCTGGGACTTAGCTGTGAATGTTCCTGTTTAAATACTACACTTACATCATCTATAAATGTAACCACATATTTAAGGGTGAGAATTAAAAACATTCTGAGTGATTATAGATGATATATACATTATTCCTGAGGGTTCCCTCGCACTAAAATCTTCCCGTTCTGAGCTGATCCTCACAGCTGTGCTGGGGTGAGTGCCCTACGCCTGCCTTAGATCCTTTTTCACAAAGTCTGGTAGCTCTCAGTTCACAGCGAACACTCTTGGAGTTTCCCCCAGTGCAGCTTACCCTTCAGGCTGGTGAACCCTCCTGACCATGCTTCACTGGACATCATGTTGACTGAATCCAAGGACATTTGGCAGAGAAAGCCCATGATTGCTGGTAATACCAAATAGGACTAAAAGAAATTGTTTGGTTTGGTTCATATAGAAGGTGGTACTCTATGTTCAGCTGTATCCTTATAGCTCCTGATGCTTTGTGTGTAAAGAGGCACTGGCCATGGGTCATCCAATGAGGAGCCACCGTCAACATGGAAGCTTGTTTGGATGAAAAAAATAAATAAATTCAGGATATGTCGAACATACAATCTTACAAAATAAACAAACAAAGTAAACATTGAAAAACACACATAATTGGTAAGAAAGCAGTGTTATAGTTCTAATTACATAATTTTGGAAGACTCATTGAAACGGAAATTTCATTAAAACGGCTAAATTGGTAACACTTTACAATAAGGTTAATTAGTTTACAGTTATCTACCTCAGTTAACATACATTACCATTTCTTCTACAGCATTTATTAATCTTAGTTAATATTAGTTAACATTTACTAATCATTATTAAAATCAAAAGTTTTATTTGGTAACATTAGTTAACCCACTGCGAACTAATATGAACAAACAATGAACAGCCGTATTTGTATTTTATTAACATTAACAAAGATTAATAAACACTGTAACAAATGTATTGCTGATTTTTAGTTCATGTACATTAACATATTAACATATCACTAATGAACCTTATTGTAAAGTGTTACCGAAAAATGGGTTCCACTTCATATTAATTACTACTTAAGTTTAAATAAATCATTTGATAATGCACCCATTGTGTACAGACATGTTTTTTACATTGTACATATTAAAAAGAATACCTGCATGAAATTAATTAATATCCATACAAGAATTTAAGTCAAAGTGACACATTGAAAACCAAGTACTAGCTACTGCATCTGATTAAGCAATGCAATGTTAATTACTCGCCATGAAAATGGAAAAATAAAGCCATTGCTTTTCTGTGGACAACTACAATACATTACCTGCACAAATGGTATAACAAAGAGTTTTGGTAGCCAGTAGCCGTCGTCTTATCAGACATGCCATAAACAGGACTGGTATGAGCATAAATAATCAGTTTTTACAAGCTGGAGTGTAAGTGATTTTCTGGATATATTGGTAATCTTCAAATGTATTCTAAATTCCCTTTATAAGCATATAATAGAGAAGTATAGGCCCTTTATCCACACAGACGGATACTGCCATGATAACTTATTTAGTTACAAAATATGATAATATGTTCACTAACAAACAGAGAGATCATATTTTTTAACAATATGCATTATATTATAAGGATAAAATGTGTGTAACATCAGAAATTACTCATTTACGACATGAGGCAGTCAGGCGGCTGTAGTTGTTGCATTTGTGGAAGTTTTAGTATGTCATTACATCACTTTCCAGAACTTATGACATCTTGAGCTTATCGTAGATCAAACAAAGGACAAGATCTAAATCTAAAAAAACAGAGCATTCATAAAAGAATGAGTTACAATTCATCCTTTGATTTTGATAAGCTCATTGTTAATTGTGATGTGCATTTTCAAACGATAGCCTAGCCTACTAAAAGTCTTAATAGTCAATACATATCTCGTCTGAAAAAATGACTTAGGTGATTCAGATAATAAGCCAACTTCCAGCATCATGTCAATAGTTTGTCCAGCAAGTGGTCGGTTCCCACTTTGGAACATATATGATTAACAAACATATTTAGGCATTAGAAATTAATAGTAGCATACATAAACTAAATTAAAAATAATTATGGAAAGTAAAATGCTTAAATCATTGTCATGTGAAAAAATACTAATTCGCGAAACACAAATAAGTAGCCACTAGCAGTAAATGACTGAAACAGTAAACTAAATGACAGAGAAACAAAATCCAAGTATAAATGAAATCAAAATTATAAATTTATAATTTATAAATGCATTATATTATTTGTTTATGTTTATTGGAAAGTTAACAGACTGTGATAAAATGTATTGAATTGGAAGACATAATATATTTATAATTATTCATATTTATACAGTTCATAATAGGCCTACATTATAAAAATAGACAAATTTGTCTTTAAATGTCGCAAAGCTAATACAGAAATAAGAATAAAAGAAACAGTTGTGATCTAATGGCATGTTTCTTATGGATGCCTCTGAGCCCCACCTCTTAATGGATCACAATAGATTCGTCCAAACGCATCACGGCTCTCATATCTCGTCTTTCTAACAGCTGTTCTGATTGGCTCGATCAAGGGTCAGTCAAGGTGTTGGCCACGTCCCCTTTCTGGACATCAAACCACAGAGGAAAACTGCAACAGGGGCAAAACAGAGGGTGAAAAGTGATAGAAATCATATTTCCAATATTAGTGATCGAATCGCCTTTTTGAATCGGAAGTTAAAAAGAACACCTAATTTTCTTGACTTTCGACAACTTTTTCCCACTGTTTGGTGCGGCCGTGTGGGGATGGATGAGATGCGGCCTAGCAGCGGAGCAGCAGCGCACCTCGGCCTCGCCTCGCTCTTTCCCCCGGGATTGCAGGCCATTTATGGGGAATGCAGGCGCCTGTATCCCGATCAGGCGAACCCGCTGCAAGTCACAGCCATTGTGAAGTATTGGTGAGACGTCTGAAGCATTACAGTTTTATGTTGTTGCTTGATACGCAAACATTAAAACAATAAAACAAAACAGAATTTTGCTTGACGAATAGTTTTAACTTTATACTGAATGATACTAGGATACACAAGTTTCAGTAATAACTAAGTTTTAGTAAGCAGAAGCATGACTATTAGGCAAATAACAAACTTTCAAGTGGACTTCTTCATCTTAGTGTTTCACACTTTCCTCTCATAATCCTCTTTTCAGGTTAGGGGGTCCAGATCCTCTGGACTACATTAGTATGTACAGAAACATGGGATGCCCTGGACAAGATGTACCGGAGCATTGGCACTATGTCAGCCTGGGTCTCAGTGACTTGTATGGGGACAACAGAGTTCATGAGTAAGAATGACAGATTATGAGATGTTTACAACTGTTTCATGACATGATAATATTACAGCAGACCAGAAACTTATTATGGTCATAAAGTTTCGTGGTTTTCCACATCAACTCAAGCAGGGGGTCCTCGGCTAAATTGTGATTTTTGATTTAAAAAAATGTGGTTAAGGAAATGTATAAAGAAGAAAGCCAAAATATTAGATGTCATGGATGATTTATGAGTAATCCACTAATTTTTAGGAAGGGGTTAAAATTATAATTTTTACCTGAGATTTGGAACCAAATTTCAGGGAGGTAAAAATGGCTTTAGAAAGATGACAGAATCATTTACATTTTTTTTAATTGGTAGGTTTATTAGTAAAATCTTTTGACTTAGCAATCTATGTTGTATTATTTGCCTATGTGACCATTCAAAAAAAAAAAAAAGCACTTGTGTTTTGCTTGTTTGCATGCCTGTAACTCAAAGTATTAAAGATGTATTAATATCATTCTAAATTTTAATTCTCAGACTTTTCTTTTGTAATATTTAAAGCCCTATATGGTTTAACCCCACAGACATGGGGGTCTCAATGCTGCTCCATGTCCAAATTTTTTTTTTTTACCCATTTACAATAGTCGGAAACCAAATGTGGGTTGACAGCTGATACTTAATGTGTTTGAAGAAGAATGTCTGAAAAACAAGTAATACTGAAACTAGAAATGCATCTTGTTATGTATCTCTATCGAAACATTTTCATACAACACATCTCTCTGAGTACCAAAAAAAAAACATTACCAAAGTTTGCATGTCTGTAACTCAAGAAGTATCAAAGATATCTTGCTTAATATCATTTTAGTTAAGTTTTTTTTTTAAATAGCGGTTAAGAATATTTATTGAATATGGCCCCAGAATCTAAAAGGATTTTATGTTAACTTTTTTGAGTTACAAGTATTCTAACTTTGGGCAAAAGTGGCTTTGTCGTTTTTGAACCATCACCGTTGGCATATTAGTCAACAAAGATTGGTAAAGTCAATAGATTTTACTAATAGACCAACCAATCTCTGTGTAAAAATAAAATAATGATGGTGCCGTCTTTCTAAAGTCATTTTTACCACTCTGTAATTTGGCTCCAAATCTCAAGAGCCAAATTACAGAATCATTTGTAACCCTGCTGCTCCACAAAATAGTGGATTACTCTCTAAATATTCCCACATGGCATTTAATATTTGGGGTTTCATCACTATTTGTATTTATATTTGTCTTTCTTCAGAAAAAAAAATATGAACAAAATAGAAAATTAGAGTCTGGCAAGCTTCTGATATTCGGTTGATTTGAAACTGAAGAGTCTGATGTTTAGTTATACGTGAAGAGTTGTGTAGACGTAGGTTTACAGCTGTATTCTGCTTCTTTATAGATTCACAGGTCTAGAGGGCCCAAGTGGTTTTGGTTTTGAGCTCACCTTTCGCCTGAGACGAGAAGCAGGAGAGACAGCACCCCCTACCTGGCCAGCTGAGCTCATGCAAGGCCTGGCTCGATATGTGTTTCAATCAGGTACTGTACCTGAACCCCATCTGAAGGGGTTGGAGTATGAAGTTTTGCAATTCATGGAAGCCTTTCCTTTATAACAGCAAAACAATTTAAAAGCTGTAGTTTTCATGTCGTTTCCAGCTTTAACAGATTTAAAAGTTTTAGTTTACCAGAAATTAAAATAGTCTTCATACAAGTTGTTTTCTCTGTAACAGAAAACACATTCTGCAGCGGTGATCACATTTCGTGGCACAGTCCGTTGGACAACAGTGAGTCTAGAATCCAGCATATGCTTCTGACGGAGGACCCGCAGATGTTGCCAGTTCAGACCCCCTTTGGTCTCGTCAGCTTCCTTCAGGTCAGGCACAACATGCTAGCAGTTTCAACAAGATTGTTGACTGTAGGCTAACATAATTTCTACAGTAATTTATTTTCTTTTTTTTTTCTTTAGCCCTTGTGATTGGTTCATGATATGTTCATAAAGTCTTCTAAATTCAGTTTTGTATGCCACATTCATTAACCTTGTCCTCCTTTGCATATATCTCCTTGTGATTGGTGTAAATTAAGTTTTTCCTTCTGTGCTCATCAGATTGTGGGTGTTTGCACAGAGGAACTGCAGGCAGCACAGCAGTGGAACGGTCAAGGCATTCTGGACCTGCTGAGAGGAGTGCACATGTGAGTAATCCCACAGCCAGCCACGAGACAGCCCAAGGACACACTCCTGCTTCATTGGTGGGGAAACTGTGTTAAAGAATCTGCATGATGGATTTAACCAGCTGAGAAGCTAAATGAATTTCCTTTGATGTATTACTTTGTCTCTTTTTTCTTGCTGAAAATATAGATGGGTGTCTGGATATTTTCTTACAAGCAAATGTGAAAATATGTTTGTTGTGTGGGGATAGTTCAGCCAAAAATGAAAATTCTTTTTTGACAGATCTCAATCCCCATTGACTTCCATAGTATTCCTACTATGGAAGTCAATGGGGATTGAGATCTGTTTGATTAAAACATTTTTCCAAATATCTTCCTTTGTGTTCAGCAGAACAAATAAACACATAGAGGTTTGGAACAACTTGAGGGTGAGTAAATGATGATAGAATTTTCATTTTTGGGTGAACTAACCCTTTAATGCTGTTTTTTTCTACTCTTGCTGAGGCATTTTGGGCATTGTAGATAAGAGTACTGTACTTTGAATGCTGTAACTCTAGTAAGTGAGTGAGGAACTTTCGTTTGTTCTGAGATGCTTTGTGCTGTTCTTGTTTTTTATTAATTCTGAAATGATTTTTGTCGTTTTTGCTGTTTTGTTTGCAGTGCTGGGGGTCCATGGTTAATCACTGATATGAGAAGAGGGGAAACCATATTTGAAATTGATCCACACTTGCAAGTAAGGTTTTCTGTTGTGTGCTTGTTCACCCACGATTCTGCTTAGTGCTCCAGGATATATATTTGTTTATGCTCATTTTACACTGTTTTGGAGTCACAATAGCTGCATTTATATGATAATAAATAAATATATATATATTTCAAAATGTAATTTATTCCAAAGCTGAGTTTTCAGCAGCCATTACTCCAGTCTTGGCTATAATCTATAAACGGATTAAAATCCCACCCCTTTGAAGCGGTACTAACTGCAGTGGAAAAGCAAACCGCGCTAAAGCGAACCGCGCAGTGGAAAAGCGTAGTGAGCCGAACTGTGCCGTGCCGAACCGTATTGAGCCGTACCAGCAGTGGAAAAGCAAGCACAATTACAGACTGCACCTTTAATATTGGTGGAACTGTTTTTTTTTCTGTGAATTATTCTTTAAAACAAAGGGTTTTGTTAACAATGTAGTCTTTTTAGATACTTGACTTTGTGAAGTTTACCCAAACTAAAATTGTAATTTCCTATTGTGTAAAAAAAAAAAAGGGCAGAGGTGCAATATATTAATTTTACCTCTCTCAAGTAATGAATGATTATCATTCCTGGTGATTAAGGTCATCTTAAAAAGCGCACACTGTGATGTTTCAGGAGTGATGCAGCATGGGAAAGGTGGAGTCTGGAGTGTAATTAAGTCTTTGGCTGTTAAACTCAACACCTCCACCTGCTGTTAGTCCTTCGCCCCTTTCGCTCTCTTTTCCGAGACGGACACATGTCCAGCCATGCTGCGCCCCTGCTGATTTGTGCGTGTGTTGATTGCTCATTCCAAGCAGGAACGAGTGGAAAAGGGCATAGAGACGGACGGCTCGAACCTGAGCGGTGTCAGTGCCAAGTGTGCCTGGGATGACTTGAGCCGACCTCCCGAGGACGAGGACGACAGCAGGAGCATTTGCATTGGGTCACAGCCACGCAGGCTGTCCGACAAAGGTGAGGAGTTCTAAGGACAGACTCAGACCAATTTAAAAACAAGACACCGAACCCAGTATTCTTCAGAGATTGTTGTATTTGCTCAAATTACTTTGTCGTTGTGTCAAGTATTTGTGTATTGTTCATACAGACACTGAACAGATTAGAGAAGCCCTGAGGAAAGGACTGGAGATTAACAGCAAGTCCGTCCTTCCTCCCATCAGCAGTCAGAGGCACAGTCACGACCGGCCACAGTAAGTCCTGCCCTTTCATGACAATCAGATCTTCAGGACTGTGTGATTATACTGGTCGAGCAGATGTATGGTTTACCCAGAGCTGTGACCTTAATTCTGGAGGTAGCAGGTTGAGGCGTTTGTTTCAGGACACCAAACTGTCTGGTTTGCTATGCCACCTGTTCGGGACTGGGTAGCATCCTTATGGTTTGTGGATAAGAGAAAAAAGATGTTTGGCGCCAGGGTTAGGTGATGTGACTCTATGTACGTGGTGTGAAAAGTGTCACCAGATAAATATTTTGCTATATCGTTTATAGTTTATAGCACACAGGGCTTGGAGATTATGATTATAGGTGCTGCGAATCATGAAAAGTGTTTAAGTTCGTATACGTCTACTGCTATTGCATTATAGTGCAGTCGTTGAGCATTGTAACCAATCACAGACATGTAAATTATTAGTAGGGCTGGGCAATACTGGGCAATTGATTTCTTGATTTAAGTCAAGCGTCATTTTGATCAACCAATATTGATTCTTAAATCCCAAGATTAGTCTTTTAGTCGATGTTCTTTTTAGTTGATGCTTGAACAAAACTGCACTAAACTTTATTTGTAACAAGCCTGCTATCCAGTAATTACAAGTGGAACTCAAGTGAACCAATCATATCTTCAACTGTACTGCTAGTTATACCATGTAATAAACATGAATGAACATTAGAAGGTATAGTCAAAGAAACTTACTGAAAGGTATCATGTCTCATGTAATGGCTTAATCAGTGTTTTACCACGGAAAAATTAAATAAATCCATAAATTACCTGACATTAAAAAGATACAACAAAGATACATCTCAACAGCCAATATAAACGGCAAGAGAGAGAAGTGTGACAGAACTCTACAAAGTTAACTGATCATGATATTATGTGGTACAGGACTGTTATATAAGATTTTAGTCATGCCGCCCACTCCTATTTGGTGTACACTGCAGTTAAAAATGGCTTTTAAGCAGGCATGCAATTTTAAAGGAGTTAAAGGAATGAGTTTCATGAGCTTTGGTTGGTCCAGCATAACAGCTGAATATGATATANCCGGTGTATCCTCCCAGGCATCCTCTGGCTGCGGTGGTCTTTCCCTTCTCTCCCAACCGCCCGCTCTTGTAGGTGGAAGGGAGAAGTTGTTCCACTCAAATAAAACCGGAACAACACCCTTTTTTAACCGCCGACGACCTGTTTCTGATGCTGGTTCACGGATGTCTTCCGTTCTGAAGTGCCGGCTACACACCCGGGTGTGAGGTGTCACGGTGAATTTGTCCCTGCGTATATTGACTATCCACTTACGCCTCAGCTCCTCATCAGCAGGAAAAGTAAAAAAACTAAGGACAGAATTGTACTTTGCGGATGCCTGGCACCGTGGCACACAGCAGTGTTCGGCAGTAGTACCAGACACTCTCTGGTATTTAAATTTTGATGACTTCATATTAACTAAATGCAGCTACCAAAAACAAGTCGACGCGTCACTTAGGCTAACCGGAAGTACTTCTTCTTCTTCTGGCTTTCCGGCAGACTAGATGCCTTACGGCATATTGCTGCCTCCCACAGTTCAGTCTCGGTATCGCTTTACAGCACCATCATTCTCAGAGGGCTATAAAACCAATGACTGATTCCACTATCCTCCCTCGATTGGAATCCTCGGTTCTCATGAGGATTCAAAATATCTGAATATCTAAAATCAAAATATCTCAAAATATCAGTGTCACCGCTTGTAATCCATCTCCTGACATTACAGAATAAAGTTGTTCTCTTTGCCTTTTATAGGCCTACTGTTGACATTCCATAAACAGTCTGTTGTTGTTGTTTGCAGGTTCTACAGAGTCCATAACCGGAAGTAGTCGTGGTGGCTGACATTTCAGTGGAAGTACGTCACAACAACCATTGGCATTTATGGCATTTAGCCTATTACGCTGAGGAGAGGAGTACGTGTAAGAGGTAGACGCGGAGGAAGAGGATGAGGACGAGAAAGAGAGAGATGTAGAGAGTGTTGTCCAGGCTGAATCTGGAGATAGAAATATTTTGTAACATTATAGATGTCTTTAGTGTCACTTTTGGGCCATTTTTTGTTGTTGCATCCTTATTGAATAAAACTATTATGTTTATTCAAAGCGAAATCCCCAAAATAGTGTATTTAAAAAGTTATCTTTCCAATAATACGATTGTATATTTTGAATTTTGACACCTGTAATAATATTTAACAAGAGGTCATGAACATGCGTCTCTGATTATCTCCCCATGTCCTATAGCCTACCCATTTATAATAATCATATGACGCTTCATATAGTCAGAATTAAGTGTGTGTCTTAAGAAGTGGCAAGTCTATAGTATAAGCATCTATCTGTAGTTGATACCTTTTGACACCTTTAGAATTTCATAATGTAGCCTACGTATTTTCCCACAACTTAATAAAATAAACCTTGCATTCAGGAAATATGAAACATATCAGCCTACAATTTGGTGTCGACTTATAATTTAAATTTTCCACTTAGAATGTTAGGGTGTTTTCACACTATACGGTTGTCTTGTACCGTGCCCTATCGTGAGTACATGCAGCACTTTTAAATAACTGGAATTTTAAATCAAAACAAAAACTTGTGCATTCATTTGATAAAATTTTATTTTCTATGAAAAACCAATCAAGAGCATTAAGGCTGATACCTGTGTGCAAACAGGGGGTGAAGTCATTGACAGCTACAACCACAGACAGAAGACATGTAGGTTCTTTAATTACAGTAATTCTGCAGCTCAAAGATGCTGCAGGGTTTGTGGCAGCACTGCTCCACAATGCCTCTCTTTCTTATCAGCTCGGCATGATCTTTAAATGCAAAGTCAGCCACCTCAGTTTCCTGGGCAGATTTAGGAGGAAGGAAACCTGGGGGAAAATACAACAATAGGCAAAACGTGACATTGACGCTGAACTTGACATTACTTGACATTAGTCTAGCCTAATATTAGTGTACACCTAAGCCAATTCTTATTTGGAAGTTGATTCTTTGTAGTTCGCCATTCATTTGAATAAAGAAAAATTCAGACAATCAGATCAAACCTTTATTCATTGACACTGCGGTTAAAATAATTCGTAATTACCGTCATAAAATATGCCGAGCCTGTGATGCCTATTTTACACACTTAAGTTGTTTTACACATATTTTACATATTTTATGCTTCACCATTTAAAAATTTAGGGTCAGTACTTTTTTAAGAAATGAATACTTTTATTTAGCAGTATGTATAAATATAATTGATTAAAAAATGACAGTAAAAACGATAATGTTACAAAGAATCCTGATAATAATTCATATTTTATTTAATTTATTTATTTATTTTTTATTTTTGCAGCAAATCAGCATATTAGAGTGATTTCGGAAGGATCGTGTAACACTGAAGAAAAATTCAGCTTTGCCATCACAGGAATAAATTACATTTTATATATAATAAAATAGAAAACAGTTATTTTAATGTGATAATATTTCACAATAATATTATTTTTACTGTATTTTTTGATCAAACGAATTCAGCCTTCTTTCAAATACATTAAAGTAAATCTTTCCAACCCCAACATTTTGACACAGAGATCATTACTTTAGGCATCGCCCTATGATATGGGGTACAATTAATTTTCACGTTCTATGTCACCTTTCTGCAGGTCATTTAATTAAATAGCTTACATTTTTATTATAAAAACCAGCTTTAATCAGTATTATTTATGTCTTATTCATGCTATGTATTTGCATTTCAAAGGTGCAAAGACTATGGGCATGCTGAACACTAATTCGGATAGGGCTGACAAGAAACCTGCAGACAAACCCATGTAGAGCTTATACATTTCGTGCCTACATTGGCCCCACCGTGCAATGTTGGCTGAGGTACACTTATAAAATTAAAAACGTTATTTTACATTACAGTATAGGTAGAATATCTTTGCAGTATCCAGAGTATTATTACTTTCTTATCATTTTATCATTCTTATCCAGAATAGTGAACTTTTCAAAGCTCTTTTACTAGAAACATAGTCTTTCTTACCCATAAGAGGGTCAACATCTCTCTTGGGGTTGTAGAAAAAGCCTGTTGGACCACAGACCAGGTAGAGGGCATCGACCAGATGAGATCCACAAAGGTGTTGCGGCGCCCCTGCGTTAGCATTCCCACTGGAGACAGCCAACAGGAACAACAGAGCACCAGCCTGGAGCCACACTGCCATGGTCGCGCTGACAGAAAAACAGATATATGCTCCATAACTACATCTACATGTCATGCACAAAGTTGCATCAACAATACACCAGTTACAATAGCATTTTCTGTTGATTAACCATCCTACTGGTCACTTACCTGTTCTTGAAGCAGAGGACAAATGGTAGAGATGGTAGAGAAGAGATTGCTTGGGGCAAACAGCGTGTTGTTCTCACTTTTATACATGCGTTTAGACAGGTTATGCAGTCTTTGACCGAATCAGCAGAAAACTAATCCTGTGCGCAAACACACTTTAACACTTTTAAGGGACTGTCCAATTACACATGCCACATTAGCTGTGTTTGCCCAACTAATTCAGATGCACTCCTGAGTGATATTTCGCTCATGGAAGACAAACACATTCTGGTGCTCACGCAGGTCTAGTAGCCTGTGTTGTCAATCTCAAGTGGGTATTGGTTAATTGTTAATAAGTATTGCAGACAGAAGTTTACACAGAATGGTCTGATCATGGATCTGCTAAGGAGACAGATGGTGGCTTTTCTGAGTAAAGATCATTTGAGTGAAACAGCAGAATATCTCTAGGGGCCAGTTGTTCAAAGGAAAGCTGACTGGATTTTGGTTATCGGATTGGATCAAATCTTGAAAATGGGTTGTTCAAAAGGGAAAGCAGGAATCTGAAATCAGATTAGATCAGGGAATCCAATCCTAGTTTTAATCTGGATCAAACCTTCTAACACAGTCTCATCCCCAAAAGTCATATAACTGACGTCTTGGGGCGTATTTTGACCATACGTCAATATCCGCCTTTTTAGGGCCCCCTTAAACGTCGGTAGATGGCGATCCCGGGCCGTCATACAACTGACGCTTTACCTTTAACGTCAGTTAGGTGACGGGTTAGGTTTAGGGTTAGGTTTAGGTATGGGGTAGAGTTAGGATCCCATAACCTCATCTACCGACGTTTAAGGGGGCCCTAAAAAGGGGAATATTGACGTATGGTCAAAAGACGTCCCAAAACGTCAGTTATATGACGTCTTGGGATGAGACCGGGTTGAACCTTCAGTTTGTGTTGTTCAAAACTTGTCAGTGGGATTTGGATAACTTTGATAAAAAAAAAAAAACAGGATTATCCTGATCCCAACAGGTGGTAGGATTTCAAGGTGGATTTCAGGAAGAAAATGTAGTAAAAAAAAAATTAAAGTTAAAATTGGTCAAATAATATGTTTGTATCATTTAGTGTATATACTTTTATTTATATTTTGCACTTGACTTGTGTAACCGTTGTAACAGTGATAAAGTAGACATAGGCTAACAATTAAGCTATTCAGTAAAGTAAAAATGAAATAAAAATGATCTTGTCCCCATTTGTGTTTTGTCTCAAAATAAGAAACACATACAGTGACCCCATTTTGGCTCTTCTACCTGTTCTTTACATAGCTGGTAGCCCACATTGTGATATGTTGTCCCATTTAGAGCACTGGTAATCTGGTTTGGTAATCTTGAAAACTGTGTACCTGGATCAGGGTGATCCAGTCCAATGTTGCTTTGAAAAAGTAAGACGGATTACCTGATCCTGGATAGGAAAAAATGGGATTTCCAAATCCGGATCATTTTGATCCAGATTAAATGTTTTAAACAACTGGCCCCAGGTATCTCATTCTCCAGAAAATGTGATCAGATGTGTTGTTAGTCATAGTAATGTTTATGACATCCTCACTGTGATGTTTTTTTTTAGCAATGAAGATGTGTGAAGATTTTTTAGCAAGCCACCACAAACTTTCATAATGTTAAAAGACATTCCACACAAGTTAAAGATTGTGAATAGCGTTTTCAGCCACAAAATGTATATGGAAAAATCTACTATTATTTAGCAAAAACAGCTTTTTATGAGACTCTGTGTACAGTACATGTGATGTGTCCGCCTTTTCCCCCCAAAAAAAACATTTTTAACATATTTAGCATTAAATGAGAAAGTGATGTACTTTCTCATTAACACATGAAGTGTACTTCATGACTTTTGGCCCTTTTTAAGGTTATCTTATAATAAAGCTGTTTTTATGGTATAGTGATTGTCATCATGTAGTGAACGTGCCAAAGCTAAATGGATTCAAGCTAACAGAGAGGAAAATGCAGTTTATGGGGGTGGTTTTTGTTTTATATTACAAGTATGTATTCTACAACACGTTTCTGCAGTCCACTAAAAATCCGCGTCTTAAGGTCATGCTATAAGCAAAACACCAATGTTCATTTAAAGAGATTTATTTATTTACAACTTTTTTACTATGTTTGAAGTGCTCACCTCTGAAAACATACAAAAAATGCAATTTTAACATATCTGAGGGATTTAAGGCAAGGAGGCATGAAAACAATTACAATAAGAGCTACAAAATAACAAACACATCTGCACAATATATAAAACAGTCCATATCAAATAAATGTATAAAACAGCAAAACATTTAAAATAGTGAAATATAATTTATATTACATATATCATACATTATGGTTTGTTTGTTTATTTGATTATTGCTTTTATGTAGGCAGTGGGTTATTACATGGCGAGTTATTACCTCTGGAAATAAAGGTGTTAAGTCCATCTGACCTAAATTAAACAGCAAACCCCTTGGTAGCACGCATCATAAGACATCATTTATGTATTAAATGAATACATCACTTCTGGAAAAAAGCATGGATCTTACCTTATAAATATTGTATCCCCAACAAGGTGAAAGAAATACACTTAAAAATTTTGCACAATATATACCCCACCAATGAGATCACACATAAATTTAGTAATGATCATTTGAATTGTAATTTCTGTAAAAAATTGTACCGAGTCAATTGATCATCTTTTCTCTGGTTGTTCCCTTGTTAAAGAATTTCAAAAGTTAGCTTCAAAACTAAAATTGGAATTTGAACTAAAATTGGGAGATGTAATTTGTTATTTTTTGAATTGTAATCATAGAACAGAATATATAGGAAATATTTTAATTTTATTAGCAAAATATTTTATTCATAAATGCAAATATTCTTTAAGAGTACCCAAATTAAATGTTTTTCTCTGTGAATTTAATTATTTTGTTAACACGCTAAAAAGAATTAATAACAAAAAAAGTGCCAAATAATATGTTGAGCAATATGTAATTTAAGTTACTTCCTCTGTTTTTTTTCCCCTCTTCACTGTACTTATATTCCAATTTGATGTAATTGTCTCCTTTTTCCTCATGCTGTCATCTGTTGTTATTTGTAGTTTGTCATTAAAAAAATTGAATACATCACTTCTAGCTTAACCCTGTTTTTATGAGGTTGCCTCAGGGAAACAAACCCATTTTCTTCACTTTGCAAGAACATGATTCATGTTAGATAGCTAGCAGTAAAATGGTTTTAATCACGAGGTGGCTTTGATGGATTTTTAGTCACATTATACAGTTGCAGTCATTTCAAAATTCTTCTTTTAAGTATGATGCACAGATTTGCATGTTTGAGTAAACTACACTTTAAAACATTCAAAGTATACTGTAGATGATTTGTATGAAACGAGGAATTGCTTAAATGTGTTTGATACCAAGAAGCAACATTGGCAGAAGTTAGTTGTTAGTATTTTGACATCAGTAACATCTAAATTATTAATTTTTGATTAATTAGTTGCAACAATACCTACAAAGGGCAATGCATTCAAATGTTAAACAACATTTCATCAGCTTAATAAATAATAACTTGATGAAGTAAAACATTCATCCAATTTCTGTTCATGTCAAGCATAGAAAACATTCAGCTCAGTTTTGCAATTAGTAAATTATCTCAGTCTAATATTCAAGCATTATATAATCTTACCTTCACATTCAATTTACATGTAAACTCATTATTTCCAATGTGATTTGACTGACTTAAACAGTTTATGTCAGCAGTACAGCTTTTGAAAACGGATTTACCTGTTGATTATAGATGCGTGCATACATGTACACTATTAGTGTAATATGTTGTTAGACCACCCTGTGTCTTACATCTTTCACACAGCTGCTGCTTACTCCATCATCCAGCAGAAGAGAAGAGACGTCTAGAGACAAAAAACACATTCATAAGAGTTGGTGTTTTACTTGAGTGCTTTGTCTTTTTCTAATTTCCGACAAAGAGAACATAACATCCTCACATCAGAACCGTCACATTCAATCTCATAATCAAGCTTTTGTTCAAAGCCGTATTCAGTGGATTCACATTTATTTCTTTTAATAAACCAACATCATATCATCAATAAATCATACAAAATGCCATATTAGTTAATGTGCCACAACACATTATTTTCTAGCTCCTAAAATGGTTTATGGTGTGTTGCTTTGTGATGAATCTACAGAATTGTGAGTTAAAAAACAAACTGTGAATGAATCATCAGTGGAGGAGTTGACCATTTATAAAAACCAGGATGTTACAGCAGGTAACTGTGACTTACTGTAAGTTATACCGTGTGTCATCCTGGTGTCACACTCACCCTTTATTTCAGAGATTTCTTTCTCTGCATTTCCATTGACAGTTTGGGCTTGTTTTCTGTCCACCATGTCAGTCCTCACTTGTCCTAAAGACCTGAGGAGACACATGGTGTCAAATGGGGCTTCCCCACCTTCCGACAGCAGCTCTAAAACCTGTGCACACACATAACAAAACAAATGTATTGGTCTTCCCTCACTGACACCAGCATCCAGATCTGAGAATGAGATATTTTCACCACTTTATAAAAAAAAACAGACAAAGAAATACAATTTAAATGTACAAATGTACAAACCTGCAAACATTTGTAGCTCTTAAGCTCACTCAAGTTTTCCTCCAAGAACAGCAGGTAGATGCTGAGGTCATCATAGCGCTGATTAGTAGGCTGCAAATCCAGCACGTGTCCGAAAGCAGGCAGTAGGTGGTATGGACGGAGGAACTGAGCGCGCTGGTGCTGGCGAGCAGGTTGGAAGGCAGCGTAAACCACAGCCGGCACTAACACTAAATACACCACCAGATTCATGCAACTTAGGAGACGAAAAACCCCCACTGCCACCAGCTTACACTGAACTGCATCTGGCACCACACTCTCGTTTACTAATATACCTGGAGACACACACAAACACAATTCAGAGAACAGACATCATCAAATGATTAGACACACACCGACCAATCACCCTCATATTTTTATATTCATTCTTGAAGTGTATCACGTGTGTGGAAATTTACACAAGTACACTATCTAGCACACACCTCTGCGCAGGTTACAGGAGAATTGATCACTGGGTGAAACCCAAAAGATGTAGTAGGTCAGATAAGAGCAGGCCAGCAGTAAAGTGAAGAATGTTAAAACCCGACAAAGGAGATATTTTGCAGCCAAAGCCCATGATAAGCGTTTTGTCTTTAAGTACTGCTCTACCAGAGGGTACTTAAAACAAGATTCAGTCAGTTCCAGACCACTGAGAGTGAGTGAGAAAGAGACAGAGAGAAGGAGAGAAAGAGATTTTAAGATTAAGGTTATCAGTAGGATCAGAATAGGCTATTATTGATTTATAGTTTTGGGATATGATTGATTGAGGAAAGACAGGAAGTTTAAATAGCAAAGATGTCAGTTCACAAGCATTTAGAAATTAAATAAAATAATAAAAGCTTAAATGATTAGTGAATTTAATTGATGCCTCAAAAGATTTTTTGTTTGAGATGTTTTGGGAGCACCAAATCAGCATCTTAGAATGATTTCTGAAGGATCATGTGACACTGAACACTGAACACAGATGATATGGCCCAAATTATCCAAGTTGACAGAATGTGTTAAATATATAAAATATTGGTTGACCTGTAATTTTCTTCAATTAAATTCAGATAAGACTAAGGTATTACTTACTGGAACAAAAACCTGTACACAGAAGAATCTCACAGACTACAAGTTGCATTTAGAAAGATGTACTGTTACCTCATCCTCTAAGGTAAAAGACTTGGGTGTAATATTAGTCAGGAACTTGTCTCTCACAAAATATATTTCATATGTTACAAAAACAGCCTTCTTCCACCCCAGAAAAAAGTAACATGCTATCTGTTTCTGATGCAGAAAAGTTAGTTCATGCATTCATGACCTCTAGACTGGATTACTGTAATGCTTTATTAGCTGGTTGTCCTACTACATCCTCAATAAACAAGATACAGTTAGTCCAAAATGCAGCTGCTAGAGTTCAAATTTGATCATATAACCCCAATTTTATCATCTCTACACTGGTTATCTTTAAAGTTCTCTATCAATTACAAAGTATTGCTACTGACCTATAAAGCCCTAAATGGTTTAGATCCTGTATATTTAACAAAACTTCTATAACATTTTTTAAGGTCACAAAACTCTGGACTTTTGGTAGTACCTAGAACACCTAAGTCCACTAAAGGAGAGGGCAGAGGGGGGTTTTTTGTATTTGGCTCCTAGACTCTGATGTAGACTTCATGATGATGTTCAGGGCTCAGACACACTCTCCCAGTTTAAATCTAGACTAAAGACACATCTCTGTTGCCAAACATTCACATAATGCCCCTTATAACCTTGGACTACAGTTATATCAGATCAAATGAACATGATTATCTTTACTTCATGTAATGAACAGCAGCTGCGCTAATTATTGTCCATTTGCTTTTGTTTTATCTCAGGACGCAAATCTCAAGGTAACTAGAGAGTACATCAGATCTAGTTAGGATCCAGCCTCTTAAGATTTCAGATGCCCCAACACCTGTGAACAGATGACGCCAACTCTGAATCAATATGCACCAATGGCAAATCTCTATATATTAAAATCATTATGTTCACAACTTGTAATAATTAAAAACTTGTAACTCACTGTTTCTGCCTAAAATTAATACATATTAACTAACTGCATGATTTCTGAAACACAATACTTGGACACGGTTACCTCTGATAACAGATCCCTCTAAATTGAAATGTAGACAGACGCATTTTCTGGAAAGCTGCTTTGATACGATATGTATTGTGAAAAGCGCTATACAAACAAATAAGAATGGAATTGAATTCAGAAATGGCTGCTGAAAACTCTTCTTTGCCATTACATGAATAAATTACATTTTAACTGGACATTTAGCTGGAGTTTTGAAAATGTTCACAGCACTACACCTGTGTGGGTCTTCTGCAATGTCTTTGTCTTGTTTGATTGTGAGGCTTTTGGCCAGGCGGATGGCACGGTTGTAGCAACGGTCAAGTTCCTCCATGATAAAACTGAGGTCAGAGGAAAGGGAAGGGGTAGCCGTGAAACGCCAGAAGAGAGCAGGAATATACAGGAGGACGGCGACCAGCAGAAGGATATAAGGAAAGAACTGAAGGTAAAGAGACAGAGAATAAGACAAATACAAGCACCTCTTTTGATATGACATGTTTGGTCACGTCATGACCAAGTACATTGAATGTACAGTAGACCTACAATACCTTGTGTAGATGAAGGGGGGCGCTATCAGCACCAATGTCTGTAGGGTGATGCTCTACTGCGGCCCAGCAAAAGGAGTCCACATACGCAGCCTGTCTCATTGTGAAATTAGTGGGTGGAAAACATGTGATCTGAGTACCTAGAGGAATTACACAAGACCATGTCATTTTCTTACCTGAAGAGACTGAAATAAGTATTTGATTAATCTTATCTAAAAGAAATCCTCAAATATGCTACTTACATAGAACAGTGTTTTTGCATCTTTGTTGTGAGCAAACAATATTTCTGATTAAACGTATTTAAGTAAGTGCATTATGTTGGCCTGCTTTGTGATAATTTATCTATGTATAAATCTCTTTCAAAACAACCAATATGTTCATCAGCAGTATAGGAGACCAGGGACAGAACTTCATGCAGATTACTAATGTACATAATGTTTCTTAATGTCTGTGAAGTATGTCCAAAAGCAACTGTACCATCAACATATTGGAATGATTCTTAAAGAGATAGTTCTTTGGAATCTCATGAGAATGAGAGCATATTTGACAATTTTCATTTTTTGTAAACTATCCCTTTAACAAGTCAAAGGATTACAATCATATACTCATTGTGGCAATTATACCACATGGAATATAAATTATATTAATCCACTGCATATCAAGGAGTAAAGTCTGGAACTACCAATGGAATAATGATTGGTTTTAATTTAGAATTTATTTATTTATTTTTCATTTTCAGTAATGTAAGGATAGACAATGACAACAATGAAATCTTATTTCTATAAGTGTTGCAACAACCAAGAGATAAAATGGATCAAACAGATATTGGTTTGATTGCTAGAGTTTGTCTTAGCAGAATATTTTGATTTGGTTGTGATTGATGCTAGCCTACTTCTGCCCCCGCCACTCTTTTACTGAGACACGCCCTCGATAGCACTGGCCGAAAGAAAATAAACAACGGTCACAAACAAAAAAAACGACTGGCCGGCTCCAATAATTATTTAAAACGAATTAAGTGTATTTACACTCCAAAATACGATGTTAACAGTTCGCAGCATGCTTATAAACCGCTATTCATATGTTTTGTTAACGCGCATACCCAGCAGTGACGCGCCCATTCTGGACACAAAATAATAATGCTTCAAGTAACGTAATCGACAACAAGTTGTGTAAAAACGTCCTTCGTTGTTTTTGGAGAATGTTTAATAACATTCTGTTACAGTTGTTCACGACAGTCATCCAGCTCAACAATTGACAGCCTTTTAATAATTGGTACAAATCCGTAAAATGGTAACGTTTTAAAGGCTTCATGTTTTGAGTTTGAACCTCTTTATCTCCATAAGTTAAGTTCAAACCACTTATCGGACGTTTCAACGTAAACCTTGTTGACGTTTTACGCATGCGGGTAGTGTGATAAAATGTTTTTACTGACCCACAGAGACTTCTTGAGCAAAGGCGAGTGAGATGAGTAACAAAGGAAGCCCAACCGCGATAAAACTGACCAGTTTGTCTGTAGCCAATTCCAGCCGCACGCCTTTATATTTAGATTCACTCTGTTCTTTCAATAAAAAATCAGAAAACACATATTCAGTCGCAACGCGCGCTATAGCCATTGTTAAGATGAAATGAAGGCTTTGTCAAATGCACCGCTAGTTCCGGTGTGCAGGGTTACGCGCATGGTTCACCGACCAATCAAAAAAAGCGCATTGCACACTTTGACATATTACCTCTATTATAATAGGCCTATGTCAAAGTGTGCAATATATATATATATATATATATATATATATATATATAGAATATATATATATATATATATATATATATATATATATATATATATATATATATATATATATATATATATATATATAGCTTGATACAAATGATCATTTAAGAAGAAAATTTCAAGTGGCAATTAGAGGCTTTTGTAGGCTTTCTATAGGCTATATATATATATATATATATATATATATATATATATAAAGCCTACAAAAGCCTCTAATTGCCACTTGAAATGATCATTTGTATCAAGCTTGTATATTTAAGTTCAGAAATTTCACTTAAATTACAATTAATAGGTCATCTTCATTGCCATTTAAGTGAAATTACTGAACTTAAATATACAAGCTTGATAAAAATTGGGTTGGGTCGGATGGCTACCTCAAAATGCATAACTGTACATCTACTCCTTCAATTACAATTAACTTTTTTGGTGGTTGTTGTGCACCTTCTGGATGGACCACACAGATCCTAAGGATAATTTTTGCTCAGCCTGGCCACAGTTCTTGAAGTTAGAAAAAAGCACAAGAAACAAACATTTTGTGTATGTGTGTGTATTGGTTTAAACAACAAAGCATCCCACTAAACTTGCAGTACAAACAGAAACACTGAGGCCTGGGGCAGAATTAGTTTTTTTTTTTTTTCTTTCAGAGGCAAGATTTAAGAAGTACAAAACATAACACTTTATGAAGGCAGCTGAATCCATCACAGGTTTTAAAAAATAAAAATTCAGAGGGCATTTGATGTCAACTTAACATGACATCAAACATTGATATCAAAATTATATCGCGAAATAGGTCAAAAATGAAAGTCAAATTGACGTAAAAGTGATGTCAATTTGATGTCAAGATTTTGACCTCTGCATATGTCATTTTGTTGGCATGCTTGGTTGGCATTTGATGTCAATTCCACATTTATTTGACGCCAAGTTGTCATGATGTTGATGTCATTTTAATGCTATTTTGATATCATTCACTATCAAGCTTCGATTTCAAGTTCAACATAAATGTGACATCAAACATTGATGTCAAAATTACATCAATTTTTTAACATATTTTGATATAATTTCAATGCCAAGCATCACTCAATTTCAACCTAAATGTACAATAACTGACAACATACACATACTTTGAGATCTGATATGTTTTTATTTTATTTTTTTGAGAAGTGTAATACAGTGGGGGTGCTATGGATTTACATTTCCAGGGCTCTCAAGTGCCTGTAAAAGGGAACAAGAGAACGAGAAAGCAAACATTATAATGGGCCCTGTCCATTAACTAGAGTGTACTGATTGTGTGCTAATGTTGCTGAGGTGTTTTTTTTTTCCTGTTCCCACACTGTACTCCTTACAAAAGCATAGTCTGGGGGTTGCCTTTTTTTCTCCTCACCTCTCCTCGTGTCATGCTGTATTTTCCTCTTGAAATTTCTCACTTGTGAGACAAATAAAGATATTATCTAATCTAATCTAATCTAAAGCCAGAGAGCAGCGATTTCAAAACATCACATTCGTCCGGGCTCTTCCCTATGTAGGCTATTGGTGTCTTATTTCCATGGGGAATATTTTTACCCCTATGTCTTGCCACTCTGTTTCGAAGGACACGGTAAGGGGGTAAAATGAAGGAAAAAAAAAAAAAAAGGGATTGGGCCTAAATCTACATGGTTTGAAGCAGCTCCTTCTGGCACCCAGTGGCGCCCAGTCTTCTGTCCGCTGCAGCGTGCAAATGGTTGGCCATCAGGCTACTAATGGAAGCTTCTGTGATGCCGGGTTGTGACCTCTGGATGTCACTTGAAAAATGTAACAGCAATTGCCATTTATCTTGCACAAACTGAAAACTAAAAATCATCTAGAGAATAGAGCTTTAGGTGATGTGGGTCCACAAATAGAAAAAAAAATAATTACCTTTCATGACCTTATAAAGTTCCATTCTTCTGAATGGCAGCTTGTGTTACCAGTTCCATCCATGTTCATTATAGACATGAGGCTATTTGTGAGCACTTGGTCAATAAAAATGGGAATAAACAAAGTTATACTTGCTGTAAAGCAAGAAATGTGAAATAATGTCAGGCCTCACAAAATCGCCTAAAGTCCCAGGGCTATTGTGTTTTCCAGTTGGGCTACCAAAATGCACAACCGGCCCCGACGGGCTATCTGAAATAGTGATAAATTCCCCTAAACTTCTGCCTCGCCCCCCTAAAAACAAATCTGTGTCTTGTTATACTCAGATTCAGTGCGTTTTTCATCTTCAGTCCACAGATGTTGGTGAACTCATTTAAGAAAATTAAATACATTTTAAGACATGCATATATGCAAATGTGCAGAAATGTTTTTGTGAAATGTTCAGAAATGTCTGGCTGGTTAGCTGTCTGTTAAGCTGTTGAAGCGGAGTTGCTTTTGGAACTCTGAATGTCAGACCAAAGAGAGCAATATTACATCATATTCTGTACAATATTTTTTCATATAAAAATTGATAATAATAAAAAAATAAATTCAATGCTGCAGCTATTTTTGTTTAGAACACTTTTCTTTTACATTGGGAAAGGAATACAATATGTAAAATGTTATCAGACAGTATATGCATGGCTGCCATTGCAACTTACCTCCAAATCAAACCTGTGACAGCTTCCGGTGCTGCTCCACTGATCTATGTAGAATCAGTGGCCTGTACACAGACAAAAATTGAAAATATTTCATATGCTTAGGAAATCATTGTATATTCATTGTCAATTGGTTAACTCTTATGAAGATATTTTTGGTGCAAAACTACTGAAGTGACCTTGTAAAAGAAGTTGCAAACTTGTGGACTTTTTTTATCTTCCACAAACACAACACAACAGTTACACCTTCTCAAATTCTCCATTGCAGGCGCACAAGTCCTATTTTACAAAACAAAAATTAAGAAACTTGTACGCTCACATTTTTGCTACAGTTGCTGCAGTGAATATGGTGCAAAACACATTTACACACCTGCATCAAAAAATCTTGTCTCGTTCTCGTGAACCCAGTCTTATGTCTCATCTCGTCTCATGAGATAAATGTCTCGTCACACCTCTACAGTAGTGCTGGACATTATAAAAAGAGGCTTTCGCTGCAGATCACTCGACTTCCCCATCATTTGAAACTAATCTGATTTTGTTTTTGAAAAAATGTAATTTAATTTTGTGGAAAAGTTTTCTTAAATTAAATTAAGTTTGTTCAGCAGCTTATGTTTTTATGCATGAAATGGATGTATTTTTTGTAATTTTTTGTCACTGCATTTTTCTGTGCAAGAATCATTAATTCTTTACAGAATCTCCAATTATCGCACACCATTATGTCCACACAGCTTTATCATTTTTCAAACAGACATGAAAATGGATTTCAGTGAAAGCTCAGCTTTATTGACTTGATTAGAGTGAAGAAACAAGTTCCAAAAGACAAAAAAGGTTAGTGAAACTGCATTTTCTGAAGAAAGAGAGATGGATACAGGATATATTTTGATTTAAATGCTCTTTTTATTATTGCGTGTAGCCATCTTTGGCAGTTTGTATATCATGTCATGTTTTTTTCTTCAGTCGTGGAACAGGTCGAAGAAGCTGTGGTCGTCTGGGGCCTCCTCGAATGCCACGCCCTCACAATAGGCCGGGGGCACAAAGGCTTGTGGGTCATCAACTTCTGAATCAACACCAAAGAAACTGAAGCAGAAAATAGCTCAGTTAATTGGCGTATGCAAAACTGCAGGATACATTGTAGTCATCCTCAAAACATTTGAAACAAATATGTTTCTGAGAAACTTTCAGAATCACATAGCCACATATAGAATACTCTGCAGTAATCTTAGTGTTCCTATAGTGCATTCAGTCTCTGCTTTACCTGAAGAGAAGGTCCTTCTTCTCACCATAGTAGGATCCAGAGACCGGCAAACAGCCACAGGAAGTGGTTGACAGAGAGTATTCAGCTGAAAAGAAAATACAAACATGATTGTTTTTATTTTGAAAAGCAATAGAATAACTAAGTAAGTAAAAATAGAAGAAGAAGAAAAAAGGTAAGGACCATGAAGTTCGGGCAACTTTCCATGCCAGACCCGGACTCGGAGTCCCTGTTCTGTGATTGAGGGGCTGCCCATGTAAATCTCAGACTCGTGAGTGGCATCGGGTGGAATCTCCATCAGGTGCTTACGGAACTGCAGAGTCTCCTTCTTGCAACTCTCGTTTTTACTGTCTATCTCATAAAGTGTACCCTGCGAGAGAAAAAAAGTACTTTATATTTATTATAAGGTTCAGCAAAAATTCAATCACAAGCTAAAAGAGGAAGAGGAATAGAGAGAGAGAGAGAGAGAGAGACGCTGACTAGGCCTACCTCTTCAAAATGTACGAGCACATCCAAATACGAAGTTTTGTTCGCATGAGTAGTGTCTTCCACAAAACGAAATTTATTCGCTTTGGCGTCATAACTGAACTCTCCAGATGCAAGGTCATGACCCCCCGTTGAAACCTGAATGTGTGTTTTTGCGTTTCAAACAAAAGAGAACCGTAAACATATTAAAGTTAGTCATTTTAATAATTCAGATTTTTCAAACAACTCTCAAGGTCTCGGGTAATGAAACTAAATACAAGGTTTTAACATTCAAATACAAACGTCAAATCCTTTTTGCAAAAGCAAAATATATGCGCTCCACCACATTGAAAATGTTGGTAACACTTTACAATAAGGTCTCATTTGTTAGAATTAGTTACAGTAATGTATTTTACTAACATGAAGTAACCAAGGGCAATAGATTTGTTATTTGTTGTTCTTTGTTAAATTAGTTCATGAAAAAATACAGTTGTTCATTGTTACTGTAGCTCACACTGTGTTAACTAATGTTAACAAATACAACATTTGATTTTAATAATGTATTAG